TAATAATTGTTAAATAATATTTGTCGTTAACAAAAAATAATACATGTCATTGAATTCTCATTAATTATATTAAATTGGTGATTGAAAATTAGCTAAAAAATTAAAATTGTTATTGTAAAAATGAAATTTGGGCAATCTGTGATAATAAAATTTTGGAATAAAATGCTTAGTCAAATATACATTTTTATCAGGAGACATTTATAATTGGGAGAATTTTAAATAAGGATAAAGGATGTGACTTAATTATTAAGGGGCCTCAAAAAATTTTAAGATTTTAGTTTAGGGGATAAAAGTAAAAGAGAGTATCATGCACTGCCAAAGACTCTTTAGGGAGACTAATCATTTATGTTTAAGTGGAATATTCAGAGGCCTAGTCAAAGGGATCATTATCGATGGAAATGAAAGTTAATCAGTTAATTGCGTAGATGCCTGGTTTTTCACAGTCCAATTGGTTTTCAACTGCAAGTTTGCCAACATATGTGAATATGTGATCTATGGATGGCAAAGGCTCCTGGACTTGTATCTGTCTTGGAACAATTAATAACTTTGATGGATAGCTGAACTGCTCAAGTACGTTTGCAGTTGCTTAGATTAGATCAGATATGAATGAGGATTCCTATATGTCAGGATGCAGTAATTCTCTTGATCCTCTTTTGGAACATATCAATCCAGAGTTGGTTTAATATTGTAAACTGAGGTTCCTTGATTCTCTGATGAAAAAGCTAAAGAAAAAGAAGTCTTGGAAGCTGGAAGATATATATTGTATTGTCTATCAAGTTCCTGACATGTTCAAACTAATTCAAATATATGCTTCATTCCTTGCTGAACTATTTTATCTTTTGCTGACAAATCAAAGGTGTTTTGATATATCAATGCATGGCTAATGGAGTTTATTTTCTATCTCCTGAATGCTGTACTCACAAACTCATGAAATATGACCTTACAATTACTAATTAACTTGCTTTTAGGATATTACAGATAGACATGAATTTTTTTTAGTTTTTATTTTTTATTTTTTTACTAATTTTCCCTTTGTTCCACCCAGATCAAATATGACCTTACAGAAACTTTTCATGACTGTCAAATTTAGCAATATCTATGGTCAAGGTCACATGATATAGGTTGAGCATTATGGAACAAAGAAACGAAATACCCATAGATGGGAAAATTATAACAAAAAACTGAACCCCTGGATGGGAATTTGTGGATGTACTTCTGGACCTTCTTGGAGGAGCATTTTTAAGGACTTAGTGTTAACATTGAAAAGTAAAACCATTAAATGAACTTTCATTGATTACATGGAGACATTGAAAAGTAACGACCCACAAGATGCAATTATTAAAATCTGGTCATTTCTAATGGACTTTACAAGAGCTTTTAAATTGCAAATTTAGCTATCTATGTTTTTTCACCTCACAATATCAAAATCAACTTCTCTATGGACATTACAATAAATTTTACAAATCAATTTTTTTTTAACAGAAGCAGGGATGAATTTGAAATTTTACCCATCTATACATTAAATCATTCTTATGCTTATATTTTTTTTTATTTATTTATCAGCTAAAGTTTAAGTGAGTTGGATCCTTAAAGTTTGCTAAAGTCAAAACATGCCTCCAAACTTAAAAAATACTCATAGAAGTACGTGTAGAACACCTAACAACAAGGTTCTCATATTAACAACAAGATTTGATTTTATAATTTTGTAAGTTATGGGTTAAATCTTTATTAATTAGATCAATATTTACTATGGGTTTTGCTTCTAACTTGTTAGGTACTATAAAAAAAAAAAAGAAAAACTGCTTAAACTAATGCAGTAAGCTTCGAAAACAATGGTAAATTGTCCCAACGTTGAAAAACGTTATATTTGCATTTAATGGCCGAAGTTCCACCTCAGCCAAAAGCATACTTTACTCCACCAAACTGCTTATTAAGTATTAACCATAGAACAAACAGTTGCTGAAAAGTTATATAAAAAGAAGAAAATCAAAAAATAGACTTGTGATTGTGAATATGTCAATGAATTATTCAAATTATCAGGAGTCTTTGAAGCAAGATTATTAGCATGCTTTAATTTATCTGTCATATCCAGCAGCAGAAACATAAAATAAGAAAAAGTCAGAAAATCTTTTGGCTTACATTGCAGGAGCTATATATATATATATATATATATATTAACAAAAGGAAAAGGTCATCAGAAAAAGCAGATATAGAGCATGAACGTATGTATACATTGGATGTGATGATATATTGGGGAAAGTGATCGGTGAGACAGTGTAGCAAGAAGGTATGGATTCACGTGTAAACTTTATCTGAAATCTGCTGAAGAAATGGTGAGCTTTTAAAGAAAGTTATCTTTATTTTTCCACCTAAAAAGTAATAAAGTAATAGCTTGCAGGAAGTTTGACTACTGCAAACTGCAAATTTTAGGACAAAAGAAAAAGTCATCCACTATATTAATTTATCTTATGCATTAGTCTACATCATTACAATTCTTATGCTTTGAGGTCATTAATATGATCTGAAAGCATCATTTTAGTTTTATACTAAGGAAGCAACCATATTCAATTCACCTTTGGTAGGCTTGAGGATGCAAGCGTTTTGGAGGGAAAAATGCGAGCATCCATGGATCAACATATCAATTGAAGCCCTAAATAGTTTTTTTTTAGATGTTAAAAAAATTGAGTCAGACTTTGTAGGCATTAAAAAAAAAATAATAGTATATACCAACCGAAGCAATATTTTGTGAACTGCAAAATATGTAGTATATATCAATTTCTATATATGTTGGTATAGGTTATATGGTAGGATTTAATGGTCTTTGTTTGTTTCTATAATCATAATTCTAGGATGCTTTTACTGTTTTTTTAATTAGTGTGTATAATATTTTTGAAAAAATTAATAAAATAACGTCTTTTCTGGGAAAAAAAATTAAGCAATGTACTCAAAACTATTTACATGTCTTGATTTAACAGATGGCACTGGCACAAGAAATCAAAAACAAATTTTTTTACAAACAAAAATAAAAACCATTTACTCTTGTAATATTTGCAAACTTCCTTCGCATGCTAAACTATTTTGAAAAGTTTATAATTATTATTAAAATTTAGAAAAAATAATTTTTTTAGTCCTTTAACTTTTAATTCATTTATAACTCAGTCCCTCAACTATGACTTATTATGACTCAGCCCTTCAATTATGACTTACCTATGACTCAATTTCTCAACTTTTAACTTACTTATAATTCAATCCCTCAATTTTTGTTAATTTTCTTTTTTCTATGTTAGTTTAGATCTCACATTATAAAGTGAGAGGAAGATATTTTAGAATAATATATGAGTATTTTTTGTATCCCTCTTATTTGATAAGGAAATTTTTAAAACAATTAAAAAATAAAGATCGAATTATAAGTGAATCAAAAGTTGAGAGACTGAATCGTAGTGAGTTATAGTTGAAGGACTGAGTTACAAGTGAGTTAAAAGTTAAAGGAGTAAGAGATTAATTCTTTCTAAAATTTATCTACAGTTATACTTATACACAAAATATTCTCATTCACATTCTTAGCTTTCTTTCTTTTTTTGGATAAAATAGAACCTCAACTAGAGGTCATGGGCATCTTCAATATCCTTAGTAAGAATCAATGCTTTCAAAACTGGAATGCTCATTAAATTGAAAAGCTCAGCGGTTCATAGTTCATATGATCCAATCAGGTTGGATCAATAGTTGAACCGGTGACGTAATAATTAAATTAAAAAATATAATAATTTAAATATAAGAAATAAATATAAAATTTTTATTTAATTTAAAAATAAAACCAACTATTTGAAGTTTATCATGACTTAACAAATCATGTGATACTACATAATATTCAATGATTAAAAAATTAGTTATTTTTTAAAAAAATTGATAAAAAATTAAAAAAAGTACAAGGACATATTTTTGAACAGTCCAATTTTGAAAACCAGACCTGATTTTTAGCTTGATCCTAATTTTTGATCCTACCATTAGTTAACTCCTCAAATAATTTTTTTGACTTGACCGAACCATTATCTTGTGAATCAATTTAATCTGATTTTTTAATTATTGATAAGAATTAAAAAAAAAAGCTATAAAAGGACAACTAATAACATACTGGTCCCACCCAGGAGAAAGCTCTTTGGGCAAAGTAACGAGCAGCTTTATTGGCTGTACGAGGAAGATTGTTAAGTTGAATTTCTCAAGGTCTTTGCATGAGTTCAAATATCATCTTCAAAACGTCCACTTCTGCATGCAAACAAATATCATCCTTCATGCTAAGATTTATAGCTTACATCGAATCTGATTCTATGATTACTTTACAATACCCAGCATTCCATGTTGATCTGATGTCAAGAAAAATACCACAAAGTTCTGGCGTGAGACTATCCCTATGGTCCATACTATGACTAAAACCAACTATAAAGTTCCAGAGCAATCTCTGATGAGTCCTCCGCATCCTCATCCACATTCTACTGACACGGTATTTAATTTGTAATAGTTGCGAGCAGAGGAAGTTGTATCAAGATTCTATTTTGCAATTAATATTCATCTAATTTTTTATTGTAATTTTTTGCCGTGTGCACTGTATGGGGAGTAAATGTTTCCAAAGACCATTCTTATGTATGGCGTTGAACTCAATATTAATTATTAACATATATTTTAATGTAATTGTTAGCCTGTTTGCAATATGTAATTGTGAAATGTTATTATTTTTTATGATGAAATTTTTATTACACAAGTGGTTATGCACTTATCACTTATGTTCATGCAGATTATAAGTGTTTTTAATAAATGAATTGCAGGCAGAATCTACATTGTAGCAAAATAAAATTATGAAACAACACAATTAAAAAAATTTGAAAGAAAATGCTCGCTAGTTTACCCAAAAAAAAAATAAGAAAGGAAGGAAAAGGGTCGAAAATGAGCCTATTAATACCGTTTCCTGTAATCACTAATGCCTTTGTGGGTCGTGAAGCCTTCCCTCACAGAAATTTGTTCTTCCCCGTCGAGCACTATGAAGAAAAAGGGTGTGGATGGCGACGCACCATCTCTTCCCGAAGACATCATCAGAAACATTCTGAAACGACTTCCTGTAAAATCCCTAATGCGATTTCAATGTGTCTGCAAGCATTGGAGAAATCTCTTCAAGAGCCCATCTTTCATCGTAGACCACCTCCACCACTCCACTCTTCAAAACCCTTATCTCCTTTCCCAGCTACACGGCTGGGATGCTCCTTCAAACTTATATTTGCTTGATTCTGATATGCAAGTCCGGGAATTTCAGGACCCTCCTTTGCTCGATTATGTGAAGCGCGGTAAGATCGTTGATTCCAGCAATGGCTTGCTCTGTGTTGAAATCAATAAGTATTATGTATCTCCTCATTTCTTTTTAGTGTGGAATCCAGCGATTAGAGAGATCAGACTGTTACCCGAAACTAATTTTCGAGAGGATTATTGTTTTTATTTTATAGGATTTGGGTTCAGGCCAGTTATTAATGACTACAAGATAGTGGTAACTTATGTTTTTGAAGATTATATTGAGCTTTCTGCTGTGAAAGTGTATTCTTTAAACTCAGGTACGTGGAAGGATGTAAAAGTTACGCTCGATGGTAGCGTGCGTCTTAGTTCTCAAGGTGTCACTGTTAATGGTGTCATGTTTTGGTTTGTGTCAAACCTGGTTGGGCTGGATACATATGATGATGATGAGAAACGGATTGCTTCATTTGACCTAGCAACGGAGGTGCTTACAGTGATACCAGTACCTGAGCAACGCTCTACTTCATGGCTTACTGTGTATGAGGAAAAACTTGCTATGGTTTCTCATTCTGTGATTGGAAACAGAGAACATTGTGTTATTGATCTGTGGGTAATGGAGGAAGGTATAGGTGCATCTGGGGAGAGATGGAGTTGGACTAAGAAATATACTAGCAGCCCTTATCCACGCTTGTTATATCCCGTGATCATTTGGAGGAATGAAATTGTCTGCAAGGTTTCAAGACCCAGAGGCAATACTGAAGATGGGGTTGAAGTAGTGGAGAATGATGAACCAACTACTGTTCTCTTCAATCTCACTACTAAAAAATGTAAGGTGTTTGCTATTAGCAAATTTGACTATCACCATCTTGTTATCGATTATGCCGAAAGCCTAGTTCCTGTTGGAGGAATGAAATCACTGGCAAATTTTCTGTAGGGTCTGGACTCATTCATAATATTGGATGCAAAGTGGAAAATGATTTAGCAAAAGCTATCCTATCTCTGATCAATCTCACAGCTTACGAATTTTAGATGTTTGTTTCCTAAATCTTCATCTTCATCTTGCAGATTTACTTAGTTTAGGCACGTTTGATGAAAGTCGAACCTTACCAGTTAGGATTATTTTGTACCTATAAGGCTTGACCTTTAGAGATGTTATCTAGAATGATGTATGCATATGTGTAATACCAGTTGCTTGTAGCTGCCTTTGACGGTTTGACATATCTGTAAGAGCAGTTTGTTCTGTTTTCTTTCCAGCGTGGGTATGATTTAGTTGCTGGTGTGTGGATTGTTTGTGACCTTATGCCTGGGTAATATACGTATATCATATGAGAGGGTGAAAAGTGAAGCAAATATGAGTTGCTTGCTTTTGCACATCATTTTTGCATGCTTTTTCTTTGTTTTTTTTAAGTGTCAAAACATTTGCAGGCGTGGTTCAAATGCCATCTTGCCAGTTGAACCTAAGGTTCTTGCTTGTGGTGTGCTTGCTCTTTTTAAAAACAGATTTTATTGGATGGAGTAGGGAAAATCTTTTCGTAAAAATATGTGAATGATCAATCCATGCCAGGAGAGATATCTACATTCAGTTTTCAACGAACAAATTACTTTGAATAGGAAGATACTTGTAAATAAATAAAAAAATTGAGAATTAGTAATTTCCATATTGTTTGGGAATACTGAATGAAGCTTTTGCAAGTATTTGTGTTATTATAGTTAGGAAATTTTTTGGTGTAGAGAATTGATGGAAGAGCTTTTTAGCTAAGATAATCAATTTTTTAGTTGATTTTTAAGATTTTCACGAAGAAGAACAAGAGCTCTAAATTCTAGTATAGTCTAAATTCATAGGAGAGCTGTAATTTGCCGTCCACTCCAATGACAGATATCAAGTTAACAAGATGAATGCATTTGTGAGGGCAAACAAACATTGGACAAGTTACAGAATTTGAATTATATTATTAATACTAATTACTAATGGTAGTTGAGTCTCGTTAAATGAGTTTGTTAATTGTGCATCCAAAACATTATGGGATAGCTCTATAACCAAATTGTCCAAATATCGCAAAAGCAAAAGAGGTAAAATTTAGACAATGTTAATTATATGGTCAAGCAACATACATGTAGAACAGACCTTAATGCTATATTTGAATATGGATAGAAAAGTGCAGATATTTTGAAAAGAAAACATAATTCTAAGTTACTCCAAACTATGATACATTGATATGTCAAATTGTCTCTCGTATCTGTATCGATATCGATGCTTTTTCATATCCAAAAAATATTGGAATATGATTTTTTAATTTAAAAAAAAAAATTAGCTTTCGATATGTATTTTATACTCTAAGATTGTGAGTCGATATGTATTTCTTTTAACTTCACTGAAGATAGATAGACATTAAATCCCAAATCTTAATGGGTGATGCATGATTCCACAACCCCTCTACTTCAAAAGCTTGCTCTACTCATCATCATATCGTGAAAAGAATTGGAGTACCTACCCATTTATTCATTCAATGAAAAGAAACAAGTTAAATCCTAAAAAGCAGCAGATTTGGTTTATATCCATACTAATTTGTGACTCTTGGCTAAAAAAAATTGAAGAATACAAGCAAGGCAAATCAAAGATGTAGGACATTAGTGGAGATGAATGGAATGACCTTGATGGTTCTGAAATGTTAAGAGTGGCAAACTTATCTTTCGATGAACAAGATAAATAAACTATCCTTTTTACAGATGACAGTCGAGGGAGAGAAATTATTGATATTATACTTATTAGTAAGGATTAGGTGGTAAGCAATTAGGCATAAATTGAATAAAAGTATAATTAATGATTATGTTTTTTTTGGTATTACTATAAAGAACTATATATGTATGCTAGTTTTGAATATTTTTGAATTAAAATTATTATTTTTAATATTTTTATAATTTTTTTATAAATATATATGTATGTATTGGAAACATATTGTATCTTATATTTTTAAAAATAAAAGTATCGACGTATCAATTATGCATCGCCGATACCTGTATTGGTATCTATGCATCCTAGACTCCAAAATCCAATTGAATAAAAAGTTGTATATATCATTAACAAATTTGAAATCCAATAAATATTACTCTCTCCATTTTAAATTATAAGACATTTTTTAAAGAGATTTGATATCCTATAATATAAGATATTTTGAAAATATTAAGTTTATTAAATAGGATTATTTCAATATTTTTCTTTTTCTCTCTATTTAATACTAATTAATAGTAAATTTAAGGTTATTACATGAAGAGTATTTTTAAAATTTTATTTTTTTATTTTAAAAAATAAAGTTATTAAGTGTATTTAATGAGGTTTATTAGTATGTGAGATTTTTTTAAAAAATATTTTATAATTTAAGATGAAATTGGAAGAGGTATAAAGTAAAATATTTATAAAATTTAGCGCCTTAGTTGTGGTTGTTGTTGTTAATAAAATAGGATTATTTTAATATTATCTTTTTATATCTATTTAATACTAATTAAGTGTAGATTTAAAATTATTATATAAAGAGTATTTTTAAAATTTTATATTTTTATTTAAAAAAATAAAATTTTTAAATATATTTAATAAAATTTATTAATATGTGAAATTTTTTTAAAAAATATTTTATAATTTAAAATAGAACTGGAAGAGGTATAAAGTAAAATAGCTGCTGCTGCTGCTGCGAAACTTCGATTTAGCAATTTAGAAAAGATTGGTCAAGCTGCCAAAAATGTTACCATTTATTGCTTTAAAAAAAAATAGCAATATTTCTACTGTGCTCTCCCCCAATATCTAATCCCTCGATTTCGAAGGCTTTCATGGGAGAGATCTGTTCTTCGCCGGCAATGGCTATGAAGAAGATCGTGACTGGTGACGACATATCATTGCCTCCTGAGGAAATCATCTTAAACATTCTTAAACAACTTCCTGCAAAATCCCGATTCCGATTTCAACGTGTGAGCAAGCATTGGAAATATCTCTTCAAGAGCCCATCTTTCCTCGTAGACCACCTCCACCACTCCACTCTTCAAAACCCCTATCTCCTTCTCCGATACGCCTGCAAATTGTGAGAGCAATGACAGATTTATTCATAAACTTCATTTTTCAATAAAGAACTATTTCTCAATACCAAACAAGCTAGTTGGGGATTAAAATTGCAATGACTCTGGAAAATTAATTACATAGAAATTATACTTTGGATTGGAGGGAGTATTTTTAAGTATAACAGAGACATTTGAATTAATGGCCAATAAAAATTGATTTATTCATAAACTTCATTTTTCATAAAGAAGAAATATTAAACATAAAAGTGCGGTGCTAGTGAATTCATTTTTCAATATTAATTAACTAACTTTTTTTTTTTGTTAATACAATGGAAGGATCAACCCAACTCCATAGATTTATTATAAGAGAAGTTCATTGATCAATGTACATGATAAAGGGGAAGGACAAAATTGATGCATGAATGCAAAAAATGTTTTGAAGGGATCTATCTCTAATTAAACTTGATAATTTTTGAATTTGACACAATCAAATAATTATATATAAAATTGATTGAACTGCCTTGACTATGGTAAGCTCTTGAGATCTAACTCACCTAGATTTTTATATATAAAAAAATTGAACCATGGAAAGGAATAAGAAGGGAGGAGATTTGTGGGAAAATTCAGAAAAAGTTAACCATGTAAATGGAAATTGATTGATATTCACATGATATACAATGCTTGATAGCATTGTTGTGGAGAAATAATACTCCATCCATCTAAAAGTGTAAGGTATTTTTTAAAAAATTAAATGTTAAAAAAATATAAGATATTTTTAATCTTTCAATATGTAATCATTATTTTTTTTTTCAAAAGTACTCCTATTAAATAGATGATTTTATATTTTTTTAGAATGAAATACCCTATTTAAATAAGGATAAATATAAAAAGATAGAATTAATTTAAAGACAAGTAATTACTTTATTTAAGAGTAAGATTCAATTAAAAATGGTTTACATTTTTGAATGAGAGAAGTAAGATTTAGTTATTCAATATGTCATGTAGAGAAATTTTTGCATGAACTTGGTGTACCATATCATCCGTGCTTCTAATAAAAACTTAATATTTATATGACAATAAATATAAATTAATTATATCACTAATGATAGTAGGTAGAGAAGACAAAAAATTAAATATGCATTTATATTATAAAATTTAAATCATTAAAAATAATAACATATAAGATTTTATTTAATTAAATTGATGCAATTTTATTAGATGGACATGGATAACATGGTATATTGGATCCATGAAAAAAAAATTATGTAATCAATGATGTTTTGGGCGCAATTTTAAATTATAAATTATAAAAATATGTATTATTTTCCTTCTTTAAAACCAAATGGAGCGGTACTCCCTTTATTTAAATTTAAATTAGAAAATATAAATAATTCTCCTTGTTAGATCCAATTAATTAAACGACTACACAAACAATTGGATTTAACTTTTAATTTAAAAACTACATTAAAAATTGACTGAAATAAATTTAAAAATTAATCAGGGGTTTTTTAAAGAAAGTTATAAACTTATTCAAATCGATTGTAGCCATAAAAATATTTATTTTGATTAATTTTTTTATTTTATGTATACTTTAAATAGATTTAACAATACACATAATTTAAATTTAACAAAATCCCTCACATATATCAATTATTTATTTTAACTTATTTTAATGAAAAATTATTTATTTTCTGAAAAAAAATATGTTTCTTATTTTTGTGATATTTGTTTAAAGTTTTAAAAATATTTTCTGGAAAATTTTTTTAAAAATATTTAAAATCCAATAAAATTTTTATTATTATTTTAAGAAACACCTCAAGTAGCCTTTAAAAATGATTAGAGGAGAAAGAGCAGTGACAGATCCAAAAAAAAATTATTAGAGGAAGCAATATTTATATTAAATATAAATATAAATATTTCTTTAGAAAATAATAATTCTAAATATTAATTAAAGTAATGTATAAATAAATTATATGAGAAGTTTAAAAATAAGTATATTAATTTCATTTATATCATAAATTTCTTTTAAAAAACAGGAGTAAATAATATTTTTAAATATATATATGCTTGATAATTTTAAAAAAATGTGGGGCGATAATTTTTTCTTATGAGGGATAGTTGTAAATTTAGGAGGGGCAAATGCTATTTTAACCAAAAATTAAGTACAATTTTTACTTTTCTTGTAAGGCAATTACCCCTACTTTGCTTCAAGCAGATACGCCCGTAAGAAAATATTTTAAAAATGGGCTAAAAAAAGAAAATATTTTAAAAAAACGAGATATGTAGAAATACTATAAAATTTTAATAATATAATAATAAATTATTTTTAAATTAATTAATTTTTATAATTAATTACCAAATATAAAATAATCTCTATATTTTTGTAAAATTTTTATAATATAATTTTTTAAATAAAATCTTTAAATTGTTTAAAAATTATTTGTTTTTTAATATTAAATAAATGGGTCAAAAAATATTGATAAAGATGATTCCAATGCTCTTTTTTTTTGTTTTAATTAAGCAGCGAGGCAAAAAGCCTGAACGAAATTAAACAAGCATGATGGAATTTGTTAAACGAAATTAAACAAGCATGATTCCAATACTCATTTATTAAAACAAAATTGACTTCATCCCCAGAAAGTTGGAAATAATATGGCAATTTGTTAAACGACCACAAATCATGAGCCCATGTGATGGAATTACAGCATCGGATTTAAAATCCTTAAAGGTATATTAAAACAGATTTTATATAAATTAAAATCTCGTTATTATTATTATTATTATTATTATTATTATTATTATTATTATTTTAATTTGATGAGGCTAAAAGTCTTGTCATCACTAATGGGCTGGATGCCTGGATCCCATGTTCGAGGAAGTACAATGCTAGGCCTAAAATGGAAGTTCAATGTTGATTAGGCAACAAAAATAAATCAGACGATTTTTTTAAAGACATACTATATTTATATACAACAATACATTTTAATCAAGCATAATATGAATTTAACAAGGTATTTTTAAACAACTACTTAATTAAATTGATTTAAATTTTACTTTAAAAATTAGGATTCATATTTGGTGAGTAACATAAATCTATTCATTTAATGAGTGCCTCAATTACAATGATTATATTATATCAATGCTTAAAAATTATCAATATTTTTTTGAAAAATTCAAAATAATTTCACTCCACATTCTATTTCAGCCAAAAAGAAAGAAGGAAACACTTCACATCCATTGCAAAAATTTGATATTTGATATTTTTTAAATATTATATAACAAAATTTTTGTTAGCCAATGGATTAAATAGAACGGCTACTATCGTTCTATATAAGGCACTTATTAAATAAATAGATTGAGGTCATTTATTGATTTTAAATATTATGAAATCCCTCATATATCTCAATTATATTTAGTTGAGTTTAATTCAGCTAACAAAATATCTTTTGTTACATAGACATAGATTTTTTTTTTAACTAGATATAAAATATTGATATTGATATAGATGATTCCAAAAATCAGTTATTAAAATAAAATTGATGATCTCATCCCTAGTAAGTAGGAAATAATTTGGCAATTTCTTAAACGACCAAGGACGTTTAAGCTTCCCGTGCGATAGAATTACAGCATACAGCATCGGATTTAAAATCATGAAAGGTATATTAAAACAGATTTTATATAAATTAATTAATTCATAATCTCATCTCATTATTGATAATGGGTTGAATGCCATGTTTCTAGGAAGTTCAATGTTGACTAGGCAACAAAAATAAATTAGACGATTGTTTTTTGAAGAAAAAATATATTTCTACACAATAATATATTAAATTACCGATACAGTGATTCCTAAAATATAGATCAATTATAATTTGAATTTGACAAAGTATGATAATAAGGAAAGTTCTTAGAGAAAATATCTCCATCAAGTAATTATAGAAAGTACCGGCTTGCATCCCACGTCTTTGCCAAATTCAAAAAATTATTTTGATCCAACTACAAATTTCTTACTATCATTTTTAATTATTCTCATCCTTCAATAAAAAATTCAAATTCCTAATATAATAATAGAAAATTTTCAGGTGAGGACCCTTGACCGAACATATTAAAAAAAGAGAACCCAAAATTTTTTGAAATTTTACTGTAAGACCCAATACTGAATTGAAATTAAATTTGCAACAAAAATAATAAAATTACTTTCATTTAAATAAACAACATACGTAGATAAGACGATTTATTCGCCCTTATACTATATGTTGTTCATTTACTTCTAAAATATTATTAATTATCTAACGTCACTTATTTATAGTTATAGTTTCACTTAATTTTATTTCAAATGTTAGTTTCATGATAAAACAACTTATTCATTCTTATATTATATATTATTCATTTACTTACGGAATATTATTCATTTTCCTACTTCACTAGTTATTGGAATGAAATCAAGTGAAAGTAGGATTATAAATAAGTGAAGTGAAAAATGTACAACATTTCATAAGTAAATGAATAATATATAGTATAAAAATGAATAAATTATTTTATATATAGTATGTTGTTTATTTAAATATGTATAATTTTATTATTTCTGTTACAAATTTAATTTTAATTCAATATCGGATCCTGTGTTGAAATATCATAAATTCAAAGGTTCTTTTAAGAATCCCTCAATGAAATTTTCTCAATAATAATACCAATAGTAGCGGTATTATTATTTAACAATTTACTGCTCATTATTGATATTGGCGAGAAATATGGATTTATTGATATTAAAAAAAAATCATGGAAACAATATAAAATTGCGAGGACGCTTCTGTCTTCTTTGTTCTTATTGCTAGTGAATTTGATCGTTCCAGAGTACAAGTTGATCAGAAGGCTTCTCCCTATTCTTCACAGTAATGGAAGGCGACGCACAATATCTTCCCGAGGAAGTTATCAGAAACATTCTCACGCGACTTCCGGTAAAATCCCTAATTCGATTTCAATGCGTCTGCAAACATTGGAAAAATCTCATCAAGAGCCCATCTTTCATCGCTGACCATCTTCACCACTCCAATCTTCAAAACCCTCTTCTTCTTTGCGAATACAATGACAGAGAGTCCCTTATGAACTTACGTTTGCTTGACCGCGAGATGCAATTTCTTGAAGTCGAAACAGAACCTCTGATGGATTCCTTGCATAATCCTATGATCATAGGTTCCAGCAACGGCTTGATTTGTCTTCGCCTTTGCACTAATAAGAATGGAAAATATAGTGTTTCTCTTTTATTGTGGAATCCAAGTATTAGAGAGGTCAGACAGATATATATTAATTATTTAGGGTTCTATTTATTTGCAGGATTTGGCTTCAGTCCAATTCTTGATGATTACAAGATATTGATAATTCATCCGACTCGGTATTCAGCGCAAGTGTACTCAGTAGGCTCAGGGTCATGGAACGGAGTGGATTGTACAATCTTAAACGACTGGCATGATCTTCACGATGATCCCATCACTGTAAATGGATTTATGTATTGGATTGGATCAAAGGAGGATGAGAATGACCTTTTCGTGGTCTCATTTGATATGGCAATGGAATTGTTTACTTTGATATCTCCAATAAGCCCTCGTGAAGGAAGAGGAACAATAAAGCTTACTGTTTATGAGAATAAACTTGGTCTGCTTTCTGTCATTAGTGAAAACCAGAATTCTTTTGTAACTAATTTATGGGTTATGGAGGAAGTTACAGGTACAATTCGGGAGACATGGAGTTGGACGAAGAATATACTAGCAACCCTTTAACTGGAATGCTTGCATGTCCAGTAACTATGTGGAATAATGAAATTGTCTGCGATGTATATTTTGGGGATGAGTGTGAACCAAAAATTTTTCTGATCAATATCACTACTAGTGAATTGAAGATGGTTAATGACCCCTTGTTCAACCTTGATCTATGTGATGCTTTCAATTATGTGGAAAGCCTTGTAGCAGTTGGAGGAATCAAATCTACTACGATGTTTGTGTAGTGATATTGAATGGAGCAAAAGCTATTCCATCTCCATTCAATCTCATTATACTATAATCAGTTCAAGACATTTCCAGTCCACAAGATCTTGCAGTGTTTTTTATTTTATTTTAATTTCATTGATATTTAAGGAAGAAATTGTTTAAATATATCGGTTTCTTGAGGTAGCAAGTTCTCCGCCTTACAAAGGAGTGTGTGTTCTTTGGATCATTATATTGGTGAATTAGAAGAGCATATGCTATGCTTTTTGTGCACTCCACAATACAATGTTTGATTGTTCTCACCTAGTTTCTTTTTTTTTTTTTTAATTTACAGCATCCCTTTATTGGTGACAATTGCACACAGTGGCCTATTAAATGTGGACATTTCTTTTAATTATATTTTAAATACTAGTTAGTTGTTCAATCTATATGGTGGCATTTTTGTTTCTTGCTCTTACCTTATGGTCATGGTGCCTCCAAAATTTTTTTCATCCATTTCAACTTGTCCACTTTTTGAGGACACAAATTTTCCCTCCCACAATATTAATTAATTTAAAAAATTTCTAGTAAGTTATCCACAATAAAAAGGACTTATGGGAAGTTTTCTCACAAGATTTATTGACATTTTGTTTATATAAATAAAGATTTGAATTTTGACATAAATTTGATCTGAACCTCTAATTTGAAGAGAGTATGATATAACAAATTAATGCTTTGAAATTAATGGCCAAGAAAAACCAATTTATTCAAAAAAGTAATTTTTCATTTTAGGAAAAATATTAAACTTAAGAGTGCGGCGCTAGTGAATTCATTCTTCAATATTAATTCCTCCAGTCCAAAGTATAAATAATTTTTGGCACAAATTCATATATCAATAAAGTTCTCATTCCCATAAAAATACATGCTACTGTTTTTCCTTTTTACACCTAATCCCAATTTTCAATGACTCTAAGAGAAATATTTACACAAATATTTAGGTTGAAAATGATTTCAAAATTATCATTTAAAATTTTGGTGACAACTCCCAGAAATATTTTTTATCAGATTTTTATCTTCAGAAAATTCTGAATAGGATGCAACAATTAGTGTAACTAAATATAAAATAATATGTGCTTTTTATATAAATCTCTTTATATAAAATCTAGAAATTATCTAAAAACAAATGGACTCTAAACAAATCATAGAAACTTACAAAATATTGTTTTAAATAAAGTGATTTTTCATTAAAAAAATCTGAAACAAACAAGCCTAAAAATAATCAGAATATAAAAAAAGTATTTTATTACTTTTAATCATTTCATGTATATTAAAAAATTAATTTTTTCTTGACTTCATTAAAAAATGAGATGTACTTTCATATTCACCTTTAATTTTAAATAATAATATAACTATATTAAATAAATTCACACTAATTAAATAAAGAACAAAATTTAAAAAAGTGATTTAATTATTAAAAAATGTCCTACAGTAGATTCCTAATTGTTTTAAGTAACTTTTAAAAATAATATGATACAAAAGATGAGGAAGGATGTTGTAGAAATATGGAGATGCACACAAATTGATCATAAATTTTTAAAATAATTAAATAATAAATTATTTTATAAATATTTAAAATAACTTACTAATTATTATTTTTATTATCATAACCAAATATAAAATAATTTTGTGATCCCATTTACGGCGCCCGTAATTTTAGAGTGAGAGAAGGGAGAGGAGAGGGGAATTGGACAGTGAGAGAGTTGAATTATATTGAGGGTTAGTTTGGTAATTTTGTGAAAAAAAATTAATTCTAGAGTAGTCTCCAGACACTATTAGAGTGAATAAGTGATTAGGCCATTTCAAGTTAATCAGTTGGGATTATCATAGTTCATGATTTCATCCGTCATTCTCCCTAAAAATATTTAGTTTGATTTATTTTATATTTCAAGTATACTTCAAATAAATTTAACAATACACACAGTTTAAAATAACAAAATCCCTCGTATATCTCAATTATATTTAATCAAGTGTTATTTGGTAACAAAAACATCCTTGTTATATAGGTTAAGAATATCGATATAAATCATTTATTAAAATAAAATTTACCTCATCACTTAACTACCTTTCCTTGATTTTGATTTTGGTGAAGTTGTTAGACCTACATTATAAGAAAAGTAAGGAGGATTGTTTTTAACCAAATTTTATATAAATTTATCAAACAATTTTTTAAAAAATATATTTCTACACAATAATACATTGAATAACCAATACATTGATGATCTCTAAATTATTGATCAATTATAATTTGAATTTGACAAGCTAAGATAATAATTAAGGAAAGTGTGGTTATCAAAAGAACAGGGAAATCTGTTAGCGAAAATTTCTCTATCAAGTAAATATAGAGATATAGCACCAACTTGAATGCGGCTTCAACAAATTCAAAAAATTATTTTGATCCAATCATAAATTTTTACCATCTTTTTTTATTATATATTCTCATCCTTCAATTAAAAAGTTCAAATGTTGTTAAAAAATGAAAAAATTCAAATTCCTAATATAATAATACCCATTTTCGTCAAAAAATTATATAGTAGCAGTAGAATAATACCAATAATAACGGCATTATTAGTTAACAATTTACTGCTGATTATTGATACTGATATTGGCGAGAAATACGGATTTATCTATAATTTAAAAAAATAATGGGAAAATAATAAAATTGCAACGACGCTTATTTCTTCTTGGTTCTTATTGCGATTGAATTTAATCGTCTCAGACCACTAGTTGATCGGAAAGTTCCCCCTATCCTTCACAGAAATGAAACGACGCGCCGTACGATATCTTCCTGAAGAAATCATCAGAAACATCCTCAGGCGACTTCCGGTAAAATCCCTAATTCGATTTCAATGCGTCTGCAAGCATTGGAAAAATCTCATCAAGAGCCCATCTTTCATTGCTGACCATCTTCACCACTCCAATCATCAAAACCCTCTTCTTCTTTTTGACTATAGAGACCACAACAGGGCTATGAACTTACGTTTGCTTGAATGCGAGATGCAATTTCATGGAGTCCAGAATGAAGCTTCGGTGGATTCACATGCTACTTGGATCATCGGTTCTAGCAATGGCTTGATTTGTGTTCTGTCTTTCCATGAGTCTTTTTTATTGTGGAATATAATCCAGCTACCAGAGAGGCGAGACAGATTGTCATTGATTATTTAAAGTGCTATCGCTATACAAGGTTTGGCTTCAGTCCAATTCTTAATGATTATAAGATAGTGATAATTTTTCCGCATATTTGGGATGATCCAGCGCTAGTGTATTCAGTAAGCTCAAGTTCATGGAAAAAAGTAGATTGTCTGTTCTTAGAACACTTGAACCTTAGCTATGAAAGTTTCTGTGTTAATGGAGTTATATTTTGGATTGGAAAAATCGATGGTGAGGATCACTATACTATGCTCTCATTTGACATGGCAATGGAATTATTTACATTAACACCATTGCCTCCAATAATAAGCCATCCTGAAAGAAGAATAAGGCTTACTGTGTATGAGAAAAAACTTGCTGTGCTCTCTCTTTTTGTCAGTGAAAACCAGAATTCTTTTGTGATTGATTTATGGCTGATGGAGGAAGGTACAGTTACAACTGCGGAGAGATGGAATTGGATGAAGAAATGTACTAGCAACCCTTTAACTACATCGCTTGCACCACGTGTATGTCCAATGGCTATTTGGGGGAATGAAATTATCTGCATTGCAATTGGTGGGGATGAGACAAAAAATTTTCTGATCAACATCACTACTAATGAATTTAATAGGGTTCGTTGCCACTTTTCCAACTTTCATCTGCGTCGTGTTTTCAATTATGTGGAAAGCCTTGTAGGTACAATGTTTGTGTAGGGTTAAACTATTCTATCTCCATACAATCTAAAGGTATTGTTGATGGCATTTTCAATTATTCGGAAAGCCTTGTAATTGAGTGTGAGAAGAAAGCAAGTGAAGCAAATTTAATTTATATGTGTTTTTTTTAATTTTATTTGACTTCTAGGGAAATTATTTAACTTTACCAGTTTATTGTGATAGTTTTCACCTTTTGCAAAGGATTGTGTTCTTTTGAATCATTATATTGGTGAATTAGAAGAGTATTTAAGTTTTTTGTACACTTTACAATACAATTCTTAGTTGATTATTCTTATCTAGTTTAATCTCTTTCTGTCTCTCTGTTGTGAATCTTTATTGATTTCGCTAAACTTAAATTTAAAGTTAGTTTTTTAATCTTATTTTTATTTTGTAACATTTTCTTTTCTTAAATTTACCTTTTAGTGCCTACAAAATGAATTTTTTTTATTCCATCATTTCAATTTCTAGCTTTCCCCCAACTTTTAATATATATTTTTCTTCTCATCATTTTATGCATATCTTAACATAATTTTTTCACGTCCATGTGAGAAAGTGCTTCTTGCCTCAAGCACTATGAAATAGATGGCAATGGATGGCCACGAATCATCTCTCCCACAATATTAATTTAAAAAAACTTCTTGTAGGTTCTCTTGTTGTTATGGAAAGATTGAAATAATTTTATCAATATGTCATCTTTCATTAAGGATTAATACTCTTTTTATTTTATTTGTATGATACATTCTTCAGATTTTGTGTATTTCTTCAACTAGGAGATGTACATAGTAAAGAGATACTTATAGATCTCTCTTTTGTATATTTCTTAGAAAGAATTATGTTTAAAGCCCTATACAAAAAAATTAATTACTGCAATATTTATTAATGTAAAATAATTTATATTAATGACTCTTGTAGTGATTAATTTCTTTATGTAGGATTTTTATGTAATTTTTCTATTTCTTATTTAGTAACTTCTCACATAAAAAAAAAATTCTTGACGACCATTAATTAATTATCAAGGCCCTTAAGTTTTTTAAAATTAAGAATCATTATTCTTTTTACTGAAACTCACATTTGTGAAAATTCCACCATATACTACTCGGACATGGGCATGGCATGTACTCCTTAATACGACGGTTATTAAAAGCAAAATTCAGAAACCCGACTTTTCTAACTATTTAGTAGCATTATGATGTGTAGATCCTATTTTTTTTAAAATTTTTTGATAAAAATATAAAATATTAAAAATCATTTTTACCTAACAATATATCTAGAATTAATTTAAAAATTAATACTATGCATAATTTAACTTTTTCTAAATTTGAAAATAATTTAAAAATAATAAAAATTTAAAATAAATAAATTATTGAAAATTATAAAATTTTTATTGACAAAAATAGTAATTATATTATTTTTCTAATAAATATTAATAAAGCATAAGGCAATGAAATAAGAAGAAATAATTCTACAATTGACACTGATTGACATACTTCTGTACAAGTTTTGTGCATGTATAGTTCTGCAATGAACAAACTAACAAGGCAAGTATCCCCCCAATATATTGTTAAAATGTTAAATTATAAAAAATATAAATAATAAAGTTCAAATTGTTAAAATTTAATATGAGCATTAAAAATATATAATAAAAATAAAATAAAATATTTTATAGAAGTTCAAATCTAGACCATCCAAAGTCTTGGTCTAAGGATTAGAAATTGGGAAGAGGATGGAAAGGGAAGATAGGAGAATCCTTTCCCCTAGTCAATATGCATAATGTATAAAATCAATATTAAGAACAATACTGCATATTACTATTGAAAAGCTTGGATTTTTTTAGGGAAAACATAACTTTAATTCTTATATCTTGCTCAAATTTTGTTACAAGTCTTTGTATTTTTTCAGTGTTTTAAATCCCTATATTTTTATTTTTCAATATTCTAAGTTCTTATAACACTACTTATAGAGATATTTAGAATAATGAAAAATAAAAATATAAGGACCTAAAAAAAATAATGATTTATAGTAAAATTTGAGCAAAGTATAGAAATCTAAAATTATATTTTTTTCTTTTTTTCTTTTTAATACTGCAGGTCAATTAATGTATTACTGAACTTGTGTTATCATTAAAGCATATGTGGTTTCTTATGTTGCCCAAAGCCTGAAGCAAATCATACCATATTATTCATAATTCATAAATTATATGATTTTTTTTAATTCAAGACTCCCTTGACTATTGTAAATATGAGAATGAATATAGATTCTTGACATTTTCTTTTGATTATGCATTAATTTTAGTACTTCTCCTCTCCACATCATCAAAAATGTTGAGTGATTTTTTATTTTTGGGCTTAAAAAGAAGTAATTCTTTTGATAAACTTGTTTCTCTAAGACTTTGAAAAACTTGTTAAATAAAAATCGTAAAATGTCTTACAAAAAAAAAATCACATAATGTTATTAATAAAAAAGAAATAATGGGTATTCCCTCTATTAAAAAATGCAAGGCATTTTTTGAGAAGTTATATGTTAAAAAATATAAAATATTTTTAGTCTTTTGAAATGTAATCATTGTATTTTTTTCTTTAAAAGTGCTTTTATTAATAATGACTTTATATTTATTATATGGTGTTTAATAAGGATAAATATAAAAAAATAAAGTTAGTTAAAAAGTAGGTAACTATTTTATTGGAGATAAGATTTTATTAAAAATGTCTTACATTTTTAAATGAAGGGAGTAAATATTTTAAGAAATGTTTCTTTCAATTCGAATTAAATTTAGTAATTTTAGCTAACCTAATTATTTGTATGACCATTCTAATAACAAAAAGAGACATTTGAATCATCTTTTTTTTTTTTTGGACAAGACATTTGGATCGCCTAACTACGGAGGGTGGGTTTCTCACCACTACCTTTTTTTTTTTATCTCTTCATTATAAATTGAGACTGTTTAATTTAAATTTAAATTTTTAAATTTAATATAACAGTCTAGATTTGTATTGATTTTTTTACTTTTCTACTTTGCAGGGGAGGGAATCCAGCTCCTAGCCAGTTGGTAAAAAAAAAAAAAAAAGGTTAAATTTTAAATTTGTTTTACGACAATAGAAAATTTAGGTTAAATCATGTAGAAATATAAAGCATAAGAGCCCTGATGCTCCCTTCTTTCCAGTCGAGCACTATGAAGCAGCATATGGTAATGGCTGGCGACGGGCCGTTTCTTCCAGAAGAAATAATCAGAAACATTCTCAAACGGCTTCCGGCAAAATCCCTGATCCGATTTCGGCGTGTGTGCAAACAGTGGAGAAATCTCTTCAAGACCCCATCTTTCATCGAAGAACATCTCAATCACACTAGTCATCAAAATCCTTCTCTTCTTCTCGAACGGAATGACTTATGGTTGCTCAATCGTGACATGCAACTCGATAAAGTTGATAACGCACCTTTGATCGATTCCTCGAATACCTTTCGAGTCGTCGGTTCCAGCAATGGCTTGCTCTGTGTTTGGGTCAATCATTATATTATATCTCCTTCCCTTTTATTGTGGAATCCAGCGACTAGAGAGGTCAGACAGGTGCCACCTTCTATTACAGGTGCAGATAGCCCTTTCAGTATAGGATTTGGCTTCAGTCCAATTGTTAATGATTATAAGATAGTGGTAACTTATGATTCTGTTTGTCCTTATGAGGTTCTGCTTGTTGTAGTGTATTCATTAAGCTCAGGGTCATGGAAGGAAGTAGAATATGGGATAGAGGGCGTAGGTCTTTGTTCTGAAAGCATCACTGTTAATGGAGCTATGTTTTGGTTTGGGTTTGGGTGGAAACAAGATACAGATACTTATTACGAAGTGATAGTTTCATTTGACATAGCAAATGAAGTGTTTACTTTGACATCAATACCTGATTGGTCTACTTCAATTTCAAGATCTGGGTTTACTGTGTATGAGAACAAACTTGCTGTGCTTTCTTTTCCTGCTATTCAAGACTCTGAATCTTGGATTGAATGGTGGGTGATGGAGGATGTTACAGGTGCATCTTGGTCTAAGAAATGTAGTAGCTGTCTCTTTCCATGCTTGGCACGTCCGGTGAGTATTTGGAGGAATCAAATTGTTTGTGATGGTATTGTTGTTTGTGAAAATGAACGCCAAGAGTGGAATCATGAACAAAAAATCTCTCTGATAAATATCACTACCAATGAATTGAGGACGTTTGATATCAGCAAATGTGGTGATGTCAATGGAAGTAACTTTATTTTCACCTACACAGAAAGCCTAATGCCAATTGGAGGAAAGAAATTGTGTGTGATATTTGTATAAGGTCTAGAGTCATTGATGGTATTAAATGTTAAGTGGAGAATGATGCAGCAAAATTTTTTCTTTTTTGTTCAATCTCACTACTAATAGTGATGACTGTGCTTGTAATCCTTGATGCACTTCGAAGAAGATATATCAATGCACATGTATATTTACTACTGGACGTTTCTAACTTTATTTGACTCATTTATAGATTTTGTTGTTCAGTTCTCTTTCAAAGATGGATATATAATTTAGTTATTGATGTTTGGATTTGGCTGGATTTGTTGTCCATGTAATATACCGATGATTTTATATCACTCACAAGGGGAAAAAAATTGAATATCCTGCCTTTTCATTTCATTTGTAAGGTAGAAATTTATTAAATGCAATTGTTGGTGGAAGCAGATTTTCATCTTGCAAGAGGATATGTGCTCTTTAGATCATTGGGGGATTAGAACTATATTTGCACAGAATTTACTTCATGTAGATGTAATTTTTGATGTCACATACCATTTTTCACTTCCTTACGAGTAATTCCTTCTTCCCTTGAGCACTAAGAAATAGATGACAATGTGTGATGTGAAGGACCTCGGTATTATTTTTGACATTTTTAATCGACTTCTTATAAGATTACACATCATATGCAAATCCTTGTGCAAACATTGGGAAGATCTTATTTTGGCAGTATCTATCATCATAGTTCTCCTTCCCTGTTCTGCTTTCCCTTTTTCTTTTAGTTTTTTATGCTGTCACAACAATAGCATTGCGCTTGACTTCCATAAAAACTTGACTTTTGGTCTAATTAGCGATGCATTTTACCAGATGTTGTGTTTTGATTGGATGAAAATCTTTTCTTATGCAAGGTCAGATAGGTGTCCGTATCTATTAGAGGTGTAGGGTGTCCTTTCTATTTAGGATTTGGCTTCAAACTATTTTTTTTAATGATTACAAGATAGTGATAATTTATGTTACTCTTTTGAGGTTCTTCTGGTTGAAGTGTATTTATTAAGTTCAGGGTCATGGAAGGAAGTAGAATATAGAAAAAATGGCATTGGTATATCTGAAATTATATCATTGTTGGAGCTATATTTTGGTATGGGTTTGAAAGATACAAATTGTTACTACAATGTAATAATTTCATTTGACATGGTAGAAGAAGTGTTTGCTTTGATGCTAACACCTGATTGCTCTACTTGGATACGTAGGTATTCTGAACCTTTAAACAAAAGAAAATTAAAGCATGCACCTATTTAGACAAAAAAGATGCCATAAGAAGATTATTGCTTGCTGCAACTTTGTCAACTATAACATATGGTTCAGTTTCAAGTAGTACATTGCACATAAATGAATGGATTAGCTGAATCTTAATATCATGGAATGAGATTTAACTTTTTTGGAATTGAGATCTGTAAGTTTTTGTAAAACTTGCCTTTGAAAAAAAGAAAGAGAAGGTTTAATATTTTATGAAAAATTATAAAATGATAAAAAAATTAAGGAAAAAGAAAGAAAATTTTACATTTATCAACTTTAGAGGATTCAAATCTTGCATATTACCAACTTTGGCAACGGTAAATTTTTGTAAAATGATTGCTGAAAGGGACTAATTATTAATAGAGTGGAAATCTAAATAGCTCAAATAATAAGAAAAGACAATATCTTTCATTAACAATTTGAGTTTGAATCCTCTACACAGCACTCAGATATACTTATTCCCAAGTCCTAAAGATGTCATATTTATAGTAACTTAAACTCGAAGTTTTATGTTTAGGAAATCATAGTCTTTTATGTTTAAATCAAAGCCTATTAGTGCCAACAAAATGTTTTTTCATTGCTATAAGATACCAATCATCATCAACCATTATCAAGCCATCATGTTGCAGGTAAGAAAATTTTGCAGCCCAATGGCATGCCATTTATAGAATCAGCAAGTATGGGTTATGTAATTGTGATCAATCAACCTTATTATACAAATCTTGTAAAACGCAGCTCATTGGTCGGGTGTTGGTGATATCTTATTGGACAGGTTGGAATTTTCCTCTTCCCTTATTGGTTGGATTCATTTATTATATGGTCTATCTTGAATATAATGTATAATTTCTCTCTCTTTCTATTTCTCCCCTCTTACTGTTCAATTGATGCCCTTCTTCGCAACTCTTTTTCTTTTTTCTTTTAGAAAAAAGGCCTTGAAAATGAAAACTCTGCTCATCCATTCGGCTGCTATTATTCTTCTTTTATTTATTCATTCTCTTTCATTCATTGTAACTGGCGCCTCTTATCTTCTACTTTGAATTTTGAATTATTTCTCTGATTATTCTTTCATTTGTTCTCTATTTGGTTTCTTTGTTTCTGCAACATGCAGGTGCGGCAATTTTCTCAGAGTGTAGTTTCTCTCTGATCAGGTAAATGCCACTTGCTCTTTGATTAATACATGTGGAAATTGGTGCTTATGCGACTTTGCCTGAATTGTTCTGTAAAGGCGATGCAACTTGCTGGGAGAAAAGCCCTATTTAGAGGCGACTACACGTTTGCTTTTTCAGAAGTCCGATTTAGGTTTTGGCCAACGCAGCCTCCACTTCTCTCGTCTTTGCTGAGAAAGGTTAGCTGTCGCTCTTTGTTCCATGATTTTTCTTCATCTCACCTGCTGAAGAAAGACTGGCCATCTTTGGCCACAATAAGCCTGGGGAGAAAGATCTTTCTTCATCTCAACCGCTCAATAAGTACCTTCCATATATTCATCTTATTTTTCCATTATCATTATTGTTTCACAAGTTTTCAATTTTTGGGTCTCTGTTTTCCTACTACTTGTTACCTATGCTCTGTGCCTTTTTTCTTTGTTCCAATTCTTGATTCATGAATCATAACTCGTGCTGATGATGCCCCTTACTTGAGTCTGCAGGTATATTTTTTCAGCTGTTGTCTATTTCTGCTGGTATGTTTCTATCTGTAATTTTTTTTTTTTGAAGGAACTAATCATTAACCCAGTCATTTGCTTCATTTTTCAGTACAACCTTAAATATGAAGTCCCTACAATATTTCAAGTTCATGACTGTCAATGCTGACATGTTAAGATGCCTATCTATGGAGTAAATTCATTGTGGAGATGCCTATCTATTGATCGTCCTCAAAAAACAAAAAAAAAAAACAAAAAAAACAAAAAATCATGTACACTCCAAGATAGTTGATTCAAAACTATTTTTCCTCTCTCCTCCCAGCAAATCTGCAAACGTCTTACTACTTCTGGGCAAAGTGGCTGCATATACATTGACATTAATGGTTTTTCTTTATAGCCAAGTGATACCGATCCTGAGACCTGAGGAATCCTTGAGATGCCTATCTATGGAGTAAGTTCATCATGTGATTGCACTAACTTTTTTTCACCATTTCTAATATTTTCTTCATTTAGACTTGAACTTGTAAAATGGCTTAAGAAAAAGATAGGAACACACAGGGATATGAATTTCTTCATTGAACTTGAGCAGTCTTAATAACAAGATATGTTTGATGGATGAAAAACAGATATTTAGTGTGGTTTTTTATTAATTTGACAAGTTCTGTGGTATCTTTTTCATTATTCTCTCTGTTTTAATGTTTAGTTGTTCATTACAGATGTTGTGGGGTTTTTGCGATGGTTCAGTTCCATCCAGGATCACCAGACTGGGATTGAGAACTACAAAAGACTAACACTATGTATAGCTGATTAGGAGTTAGTACTTTACCAAATCCAGAATAATATATGCAAGTGCCACTGTTATGATATCCTTTAATCCTACCTTATTTTTCATTTCAGATAAAAACTTTTAGACTATGTTTGTTTGGTGACACCACTCTGAATGCTGTGAATGACAAGATTTCAGATATTGTGCCTCCTGTAGTTGTCGTCCAGATGGGTGTTCTGGGATTCTACAAAGGTGAATCTGGTATTTTTCCTTATTCTTCATTCTTAATTTATCAGTCCGGCATTTTTTAAAATGTTATTCCCTTCACTTCTAGACAATCCTCAACTTTCAAACTATGATGATACTACCAAGGTTTTTAATAATCCTGACAGAATAATTTGATCAGAAACTACTGTTCAATAGTTGCTTGCTCAAGTTTGCAGAATAATTTAACAAAAATTATCCTTCATCAGACAGGTAGACAATTTGATACTGTCAATTCCTACAGGATTCATGTGTATACTATATTTTTCCCCCGGAATTCTAGGAAAAGATATTTCCCTCGAACACTTCATATTCTTGCTAGAAGAGAGATGGTCATGAGAATCAAGATCGGTGAATTCAACCTTAGGCAAAAAAACATCTTCTCTTAGTGTGTCTCAATGCAGTGATGACCCAGAGATCCTGGAGAAGCTTACATACTTCGAAGCACAGTTACCATATGTAACAATATTTTATTATCATTCATTTGTGTCACAAAATTGTTGCTCATTTGGGTTTCAAAGGATCCTGCCCTTTATGTGATCAAACCACAAGTGTGTTAATTTAATCTTTTATATGTTAGAACTAGTCGTTTAACCAACTCTCATTTGATTTATCTTTATAAAATAAATTCAATATAGGCTTCTATTTTCGCCTTATTTGACAGTGATCAGCTCCTTTCCACTCCAAGTGAGTCCTCCAGTTCCAAGAGCAACCTGAAACATACCAGGATTTCTGGTGACGTAGAATTTGCTACACTCGTGTCATTTACTGCTCCTGAAATGAATAGCAAGAAAAGGAATTCTATGATTGTCAATCACTCTATTCCAGATTCGACGGGTATAGGTGAAATGTGTACATCTTGCAACTCAACCCAGAATCCAAGAGTCATCAAGGAGAAGTGGAGAAGAACATTATTACTGAGTAAGTTTATTGTGTTAGTTGTTAATTCTAAGCATTTTTTTTTCGCTTTATATTTTGAATTTGCAGCATTAGACTACATCATATTTTGTATTCAGCATTTTCAGGAATTCCTTCAAATATATTATATGATTATGCATTATCTTGTGATTTTCATGTTACGTATTTTTGGGGGAAGTCAAACCCCAAAAGCTCCATCACTTTTGTAGTAGAATTGCATATTTTGTATTCAGCAGTCACATTCTTGCCAGCACTTTTGCAGAAGAATTGAAAGAATTTATAGTTTAATTTTACCTTCTTTACGTAATCATGTCTCATTCGTTGCAAAGTCAGTAGACTTGGCAAGAATGCATACTAATTATATTCAACATGTTTACCTTCTTTTCTTTTCTTTTTCTCTTTTTTTAAGTGTACTATCCATTGGTATTACTGTGGACCGCTCATGTACAGACATGTTTAACTTTTTTTCTTTTTTTTTAAAAATATAATGTACTTCAATTTTTTCATCAATTATATTATCTGTCTTTGACTTTGTTTATTAATATGGTATTGGATGGAATGAATTGAGTGGCAAATCCCTTTCAAAGTGAATAACACGTATTTACTACAGCATATAATTAATCTCCCTCCCTCTCTGCCTCTCTCTCGTTTGTAAAACTGCAGATTTTTAATCTTTATAAAGCTATAACTCATTTCTTGAATTAACATATCAATCTTATTAAATTATCAATATTATATAAAGTATTTATAACTAAATTGCGTCTTCCAAACTTTGCACAAGTTGAATAAAATTTTTTATGTGTAAATAAATAAATATGTATGATAGGCAAAGTATATGAGTTGACAATGCCATTTTTGGGGAAGTACCTGAAAGAGACGTGCATGTCTTGACGAACCAAAATAAACTGTGAAACCTATCGATCCTATAGCATACACTGATATCAAACTCAAAGCATTTAGAGTTTAAGAATTATTAGACTCACAGTAACATAATTGAATGTTTAACGGTGCAAAAAATATATGCAAGTTAGCTTATAACAGACGACTCATACAAAATAGCAAGAGACACACCCTCATTTAATCATTCATAATGCCCTGACAGATTAGAATGAGTATATGATTATCATTTTACGACAACTATTCATTTACAACCTCCAATAACAACCGTATGTGGAACATGACCCTCTCCATCTATCAACATTCTCAAAGATCACAATAAACCGAAAAAGAAAGGGTTATTAAGAACCCTGTTTTAAATAGAACATCTTCATTTAAGAAATGAATCTCATCTATTCAAGGTACTTTAAGCTCTTAGAATTAAGTTTTCAAATTTAATTGTCAGTTTTTTGAATAAAAAAAAAGCTGTAGAAACTTAGACTTTTAGTAACTACATGCACTTGTTATCGTTAAAAGTTTGACAGTTAATGATGACTTTAAATAATCTAAAAATTTATTACTGTTAGGTCCCCGATTTATTACTGTTAGGTCCCCGATTAAAGCCAAAAATCCAAAATTTATTACTGTTAGGTCCCCGATTAAGTTTTTTGAAAAATTATTTGTAAATGTTAATTCAAATAATCTAAAAATTTTAACTGCAAATAAGATATTTGAATTTAAAATACTCATTTGCAATTGAAATTCTTATTTTTTAACTATTTGAATCAATATTTATAACTTCTTTTTACAGGATTTTTTTCATCAACTTAACTATAATAAGTTTTTGAGTTTTGAGATTTTTTTTAATCAGCTTTGGGACTTTATTTTCATTCTCCCATATTTTTGTGACTTCAAATGAACACGTTCAAGATCATTCGTAAATGTGTTTTTAAAATATATATCTTTTAAAAAAAAATCTAATCTTACAACCAATTCAATGTAAAGAAGTTCCATATTTGACTTTTAAAAATTATTATTCATTAACACTTGTGATCTGTTGAAAAGTAGTGATTGAAAAGAATCTCCAGCATTTTATAACATTATATTACTTAATAGTTTAAAATTATTAACATTATGTCTTTTTTTTTTTGTAAATGATGTTTAAATCTTTAAATGACAATATTTTTAAATAATAGGCTAAATGCATAAAGCTCTCCTAAACATTGAAACAGCTGTATATAATTCCCTCACCTTTAAAAATTTAAAATTAACCCTCCTAATATTTAATTTTATTTTTCAAAACCCCCTATTGTTAGTAGAACTATGTCTAATTAATTTATTATATTTTTCAGATAGTTGAATGCTAGTATTGCTTTTGGCACCACGACTACAGGGGCAAACAAAAAATTTCAAAGGTCATGCTAATTGTGATGATTTAAGAGTGAGAAGAAGATCAATCATGTTAATTGGCATGATTTGAGAAAACAAGCACAGGAAGCGAATTACAAAATAAAAATAAATGAAAAAAAAAAAGGAATTCACTTGATACTGAAACAGAGATATGTTAGATGAGAGTTAGTTAATGAGGATTAACTATAAATTGTCAATTGATTATAAATATTAGAAGTTTAATTATAAGTTTAAGGTTGGTTATAAATCAAGTTATTAAGCATTAGGAGAATCACGTTTAAAGACTATTCAAACAAATTATTCATAAATAAGAATTACAAGTTTCATTTGATAAAAACAAATTGCATTTGCATTTTAATAATAATTCATTTTGTATTAGTTTTTGTTTGCGAATAATTTCTTAAAATGGTCTTTGGATGTAACTCTCTCTTGAATATTTGAATTAGGTAAAAAAAAAAAAATACAAATGACTTGCAACTTGTTTTCCACTATTTATAATTAAATTTTCAGGATTTACAAGTGACCTTCTAAAATTAAAAAAAAAAAAAACTTTCACAATTTTCAATCTGATTTGCAAGTGATTTTACAATATTTACAATTCAACTTCATATATTTACAATTTAGCTTTCAAATTTGCAACTTTGAAATCTTGTCCCATCTTGGTCGCAGTTTTGTGCACTTCCCAACTTCAGCGACGTTAGAATGAACATATAGTATCTCCCCCATGAATTAGCTCGAGCTTTGTGTGTGCTGATCCGATGGCTTCTCCTTTTCTTCTAGCAACTCTATAAATGATCTCCACTTTCAACATCTTCTGGAAAGGAGATGCTTCTTGGAGTTTTTGTTTCGGATGTGACCTTGAAAGAACAACAACTTTGGCGGTTGATACTCGATCCAAGGTTTGACGTGGAGATATTTCTCCAGGAGATCAAATCCAACAATGGTGCTCCTGACACTATTGACCAGGAAGCGATTTGAAGTCTCCAGAAGAAAGATTTGGGAATCGATCAGAAATATTTGAAGTCTCCAGAGTCATAGAGTTACGGCATTAACTTGCAAGTCCAAATTAACGGTAGGGGCTTCAAATGTAACAAAAATAAATTTAGGGTTCAAGTATATTCTAAGTCTATAATTGAAGGTCCAAAATTTTATTTTACATTAAAATATTTTCATTTCAATGACAAATTCTTTTATCTTGAAAGAAAAATTTTGGATCAAATCTATTATCAAAAGGCCTTGTTGATAGGCAATCTATAATTATTTTTGTGAGTATTTTTTGAGTATGGAAACATGGCTTGAGGATTCTCATAACCTAACTTATTTAAACTTTTATTTACAAAAAATAAAAGAGTAAATTTTTGGAATTATTTCCCCCTCCTTTCCTGTAGGGGGAAAAAGATAGAGGAATATGATATTTATTTGCTAAAATTTGTTATTGTTACTAACTATATAACAATTTATTACTTAGTTTCTCAAATTTAATTGAAAAATTTTGCAATTTTACATTACTTTAGGGTGTTTGATTTTACATTAATTTCATACAAAATTAAATAATACTTTCTTAAAAGAAAATAGAGTTAAGAATCATTTTTGTCCCTAAACTATACGCGAGAGTGTATAAATGATCTTAAACTTGACTTGGGTTAGTTTTTCTTATCAACTTAAAAAATTCTCTCTCTCAACACCCGGACATTAAAATTTTACTTAACTTTTTTATTTTGCAGGTAAAACTAGATTATTATACAAAGAAAAATTGAGAAAACAAAGGCAAAAAAAAAAAAAATTGAAACTGGCTGAATATGATTATTGGGACCAAATCCGATATGATAGTTACACAAAATATATTTGTAAAAGATTTTTTTTTCTTATTTCTGTTTTAAATTAATATGTGTGTGTGTGTGTATATGTATATATTCTTTTCTAGCTTAAAAATAAACAATTCTATTCTAAAAACCGAAAAAGATTTGTAAAAATTAAGAAAGAAATTTTTGCAATTTATAAACATGATAATCTCAATTTAAGTAGTTGAATTATATTTATTTTGAATAAAATTTTAATTAATTTTCATTTACTTTGCAGGTAAAACTATATTATTATATAGAAGCAATTGAGCAAGCCCGTAAGCGTGTGAAATTTGTGAATTATCTAATTCGCCAATAGTTTAATTTAATTTGAGTTCAATTTAATCTCTAAAATTGAGAAGGATTGTTTTCACGCCATAACGAACTAGTGGAATATGATCATTGGGACCAATCCGATGCGATCTTTGTACAAAAGATATTTGTAAAATATATTTTAAACTTATCTCTATTGGAAATTAAATATATATTGTTAACCTTTTCTAGTTTAAAATATAAATAATTTAAATCGAGAAGGAAATTCCTGTAATTTATATACTTGACAATCTCAAACTAAATCTTTGAGGTAAATTTATTTTGAATAAAACTTTACGTGAGTTTCATTTATTTTTCATGTAAAACCAGATTATTATCTAAATAAAAATTGAACAAACAAAGTCAAACAGATATGTGAAATTTGTGAATTCTCTAATTTTTTAATATTTTCATTTGAATTTGAGTTTGACTTATATCTAGTTGAGCTCACATACTTATTGGTTCGTAAAAAAAAAAAAGAAAGAGAGAAAGAAATCTGATTCTTTATAACTGTATCTAATAAAAAAAATATTTCTTTTAATAAACATCCAATAAAAAACTATTTAAAATACTTATTTTCTTCTCTCCTTTATATTATAAATAGGTGTAGATAATGAAGAAGATCTATCCAATTTTTCTACCAAAGTTGATTACGAATCTATACAGAGACTTTCGAAGTGCAAGAGTATAGTTTCCGTCAATTTCTCGTACAGGTAAGCCTTAACTCTATGTTCCTTAAATTTTATATAAGCTTGATTGAATATACGTGGAAGAACTATGAAGTCTTTTGTTTATGTTGCATCTATCATCTTATAATTTATTTTTGTGACATCTATGTCCGATTATATTTTGCTATAAGTAATTTTTTTCCTTGAAATATTTCGTATGAGTATGGATTTGCTTGATTTTTATTTGTTTAATTTTCTTGATATCTCTTTATTAATATTTATGAAACGTATAATCTTGCTGTTTGACATAACTCATCACAAGGGCACGCACGTGAACGGTGACATCTTTTTCAAGGGAACGGAATTTATTTGATGAAAATCTGTGCAGTGTTTTTGGAAAATCCTTACCTGCGATGTATCTAATGGCTAGAGAGAGGTGCATGATAAAACTTATTATATGCAAAGTATACAATCATGATGTTTATTAAAATTTTTATAATTTATAAAATTGCATAATACAAATATAATAAGAACGATTCAATTTATTATTTATTTTTTTAATTTTTATAAATTGAGTATCCTAATGTATTCTATTAAATCCATATTTACTAATAAATTTTTTAAAAATTTATTTTAATAAACACAATATAAAGAATAAATATAATATCTTATCTGACACTTCCCATTTTTTTTTAAAAATACTACAAGTTAAAAAATTTAAATTTGAACTATTCAGAGCAAATTTGGATAATTAATTTAAAAAATTATAAAATTTTAATATTAAATTTGGATTATTTAAATTAAATCAAGACTTTCTAATTAGTAACAAAGAAAATTTATTTTTATAAATTTTTATAAATCATAATAGATAAAACATAATAGTACACGTTGCATATAATAAGCCTTATCATGCATGCACCTCTCTTTCTGGCCATCAAATATAATGCAGGGTGAGGATCAGCAAATCCGCTCCTCTTTGTCAATCATTTCAAATGCACAACTCTCCATGCTACTAGTGATAAAAACAAGCCACGTTTTACCTATGAAAAATAAAAATAAAACCCTCCATAGTTATAGATCGAGGTCTGCAAATAGGGACTGGCCAAAAACAATCTGAGGGTGAAGAGACAAACGTTAACATTACTATCTGTGCTTGTTTAAGGTCAAGCGATCTAGTTTAGGCTATTAGGTGAATAAAAATAAAAAGCAGGTTAGTTTTCATTTATTTCTCGTAATGATTTAAAATATTATTCAAAATATTTTTATTAAATTAAATAATAAAATTTACTAAAACCGAAAAATTATTAACCTATGTAAAACTGGTCTAATATAAATGTATTGAAATATAGCATAACTATAGATAGAGAATATAATTTTTAGAGTGTGTGTGTATTATTTATTTGTACTAATAATTTGTTATTTGCTCTTATAGTTATTAACATGGAATTGCAGTAACTATTATTATAAAGCTCTTAATTAACATACAATTGAAATGTTACAGACAAAGGAACTACTATTGAGTGACATGGACTACGAGTATACATTAGAGCAACTTACCAAAGATCTTGGAATAGTTGTTAAAAGCTTCTATGAAGACAATACTGGGTCAAAGAATGAAGCGAGTCAGGCTCTACTTGATGACAATGAAGTAGATCAAACTCTGCTTGAAGAGGATGAAGTGGTTCAGGCTCTCCTAGGTGAGAATGAAACAAGCCAGGCTCTGCTTAACGAAAATGAAGAGAGTCAGGCTCTCCTAAATGAGCTTGAAGCAAGTCAGGCTCCCCTTAATGAGAATGAAGCAGGTCAAGCTCAAGTCCCACCCATGTACCCAAGCACTTGGCCTTCCAACTGGAATTCAACGAAGCAGATTTCATTGAACTTGGAGCCACCAAACAATACTGGCACCAAGAAAAAGAAATGGGCTTTGGCTGAACACATGTACGTATCTATACATTTTTTTTTTTCCATTTCAATTGCTTTGTTTTTCTTTCTCTTGGTGTGTTTTCAATTGAATGACTTTTCTTATGAATTTATTTGGCAAATTTGCTAAGAAATTAGTGAAAAGAAAATAATACTTCCTCACTCAGATAGAAATTTATCAATTTATTCTTATTTAAATGCATCATTTTTTAAAAAACAATTTTATTTATAATATTTTACTCTATACATAAAATTAACTCCTTTTTTTATATACAAAATGACTTACAAAATAAATTATCCATTCCTTCTGGAAGATAAATAAAACTAAAGAGAGTCCATAGGAGAGAACTCTTGTATATTTTTATTACTTAGAGGATGTATAGAACAATACTAAAATTTATTCCATTTAATTTCTATAACAATATATTGTGAAGATAATTGCTTAATACTGTAACAACACTTAAAATGGGGGATCATAGGTGACATAATGGACATTAATAAAAATATTTATAACATATACTAAATAATATGATGACTAATGACCTTCTTATATTGTTTTTTTAACAGATGCTTCCTGCGTGGATTGCAGCAATATGGGAAGGGAAAATGGACTGCCATTTCTAAAAATGTGGTGCTGACAAGAACACCAGCTCAAGTAGCCAGTCATGCTCAGAAATACTATAAACACCAAATTGATCGAGGAAACAAAAAGAGCAAAAGAGGCAGCATATATGATTTTACCATAGACATGCTTGTGGACCCTATGAATCAAAACGAGAACCATGCCATTCCATCAATGCATCAATTAGGACCACAAAATCTTTCACATGAGCCTCCAACGCACCAATCATGGCCAGTGCATCAATCAACCCTAATGAATCGGCCTACTGTTCCAATGCAAATTCAACCTTCATAAATCAGCCTAACTCACAAAATATTATGAAGGTGAATCCTGCTTGCATGGCAGAATTGGACCCATCTCACGCTCACTCAACTCCCCAACCACATCAAGGGTTATCACAGTTGACATCTGTGTTTTCATTCGGCCCTGGGTTCTCTAATGGGCAACAATTGGTAAATCAACCTTCATTCAACTCTAAGGCACTGACAACTATCCATACCCAAATCAACAAGGGAACCCGATGGACTGAAGAAGAACACCTGTATGTGCATGCCCATTTGATTTTGTTTCCTTTTTTTCTTTTTTATCATAAATGTCTTGATTTTTTTTTTTTGGCTTTCTTATTATAGGTTATTTGTGGATGGATTGGAAAGATACGGGAAGGGAGATTGGAAGAACATTTCTAGATATGTTGTGCAGACAAGGTCGCCAACTCAGATTGCTAGTCACGCTCAGAAATACTTTAATCGCCAAGCAAAGAAAGGGAACAACAACAACAAGCATTATCCTACTACGAAAGGGAGCAAAAAGAGGAAAGAAAAAGCATCCATGATGTCACCATTCATGATATTTATGTCGAAGCTCAACAACAAAATCAAATGATGGCTTCTTCATATCCTCAAAACCAGATTGTTCCTCCAAGTCTTCCCATAGATGAATCCTGTAACCCACAAAATTGCCTAAATTTTGATCGGTCCCTTCAATTTGGGTACCCAAGTAGCGCCTTTCTTATGTAAAGACCTCTTTTACTCTCCAACTAATTTTATAGTATATAATGACATTGATGTGACCATTTTCTTGAATCGTATTGTACATTCTAATTCAATAAATTTTATAGGATAGAGATGTCGGTTTGAGACGATGTGTTGAGGAACTTTGAAACGCCAGAATACTTGTCAATTATGTTGGCAGAGTCGTCGCTAAGAAATGATAATGTGGGTAATGTTGGGAGAGATTGGAATTGGGAGCAAGTTTGTTAGGATTACTTTCGAGACATTGTTAGGATCTTTCAAGTTTTAACTTTCATCCATCGCTCTGCACTTTTTTATTCTTGTTCGATTCGGACTCGTCTCCATTTCTTTTAAATTTCATATTTTATTTGTTTTTTGGTATTTTATTTTTGTAATATAAAATGCCATGTAATCATTATTTGCGACACATTAACAAGTCCAGTCTGTCTCACTCATGACAAGGATAAAATTTTTAAATGGACTAAATTTGAGGGACTAAGTTATGATAAGTTAAACTTGAGAGACTGAATCATTATTGAATTAAAAGTTAAGGGACAAAATAATTATTTTTTCTCATTTTAATCACAAAAAATTGAGAGGGATTGCTTTCACACCATAAGCAACTGGTTGAATATGAAAAAATATAATATACTTAAATATATGATATCTTAGTATAACATGTCACAAAACACAAATAATTAATTATATTTATTATATTTTATATATTTTAATAATAAAAAGTGTTCTCAAATTTTTCAAACATAAAATATTAAAATTTTTTCAAGCACAAACCTCAATTTTTTTTGAACTTATTTGAGTTAGCCCATCAAGCTTAATATGAATTATCAGTTATATCTTCATTTTTTATCTATTAAAAAATATAAATGACATGTTTAATTTTTAATTTTCATTTCGAATGTTAATTCATTTTTTCCTTCATATATTTGAAATAGTTTAAATCATTCAAATAAAGAATTTTTAATAGACTATCAAATGTTATAAGATTTCAAATTTAAACATTCAAATTGAAGTCCATCCACCCAAATGCTACCACGAGGAAATTCAATGTATCTACTCTAAATTTTAAATTAGTTTTTTGATAACGGAAATTATGTTAAATCATTTATTTAGAAACAAAAGGCACGAAATTTTTCAGCAGAAGCAGCCTAGTGAAGCAGTGATCTTAGTTGATCAGAACGCTATCCTCCGAGAGATCTCTTCTTTCCAGTCGAGCACCATGAAGGAGAAGGTAATGGCTGAAGGCATTCCGTTTCTTCCGGAAGAAATCATCAGAGACATTCTCATACGACTTCCGACAAAATCGCTTATCCGATTTCGCTGTGTGTGCAAACGGTGGAGGAATCTCTTCAAGACCCCATCTTTTGTCCAAGAACACCTCAATCACACCAGTCAAAATCCTTCTCTTCTTCTCCAACGGAATGACTTATGGTTGCTCGATCGTGAGATGCGACTCAAGAAAGTTGATAACGCACCTTTAATCGATTCCTCGAATACCTTTCGAGTCGTCGGTTCCAGCAATGGATTGCTTTTAGTCGGCATTTGTAATAGATTTCCTTGCTTTTTAGTGTGGAATCCAGCGACTAGAGAGGTCAGACCGGTGTCCTCTATTACGGTGCAGTCTGAAGATAGCCATAGACCTCGCAGTGCAGGATTTGGCTTCAGTCCAATTCTTAATGATTATAAGATAGTGGTCCCTTATGATTCTAGTTATCCTTTTGATGTTTTGGTGGTTGTAGTGTATTCACTGAGGTCAGGGTCATGGAAGAAAGCAGAATATGGGATCAAGAACGTAAGTTTTAGTTCTGAAAGCATCACTGTTAATGGATCCATGTTTTGGTCTGGGCTTGCGTGGAAGCAAGATACAGATACTTATGACGTTGTGGTACTTTCATTTGACTTAGCAAATGAAGTGTTTACTTTCATACCAACACCTGATTGGAATACTTCATCAATTAGTTTTGCTGCGTATGAGAACAAACTTGCTGTGCTTTCTTCTCCTGCTTTGCAAGACGTGGGTGAATTGTGGGTCATGGAGGATGGTACAGGTTTATCTTGGGCCAAGAAATATAGTTACTATCTCTTACCAAGATTGGTACGTCCGGTGACTATTTGGAGGAATCAAATGGTTTGTGCTGATATTGTTATTCGTGAAGATGAACATCAAGAGTGGAATCATGAACAAAAAATTTCTCTGATAAATATCACCACCAATGAATCAAAGACGTTTGATATCAGCAAATGTGGTAATGATCTCAATCTACGTGAATTTATTTTCAACTACACAGAAAGCCTTGTACCAATTGGAGGAAAGAAATTGTGTGCGCTATTTGTGAAATGATGAAGCAAATTTTGTTCTAACTTTGTTCAATCTCACTGCTAATAGTAATGACTGCACTTGTAATCCTTGATGACCTTTGCAGTATCGCTCATCATAGTTCTCCATCCCCATTTTGCTTACCAATTTTTTTTAAAATTTTTTATGATGTTGCAGCAATAGCATTGTGCTTGACTTGTAAAAAACTTGACTTTTACTTAATTTGTGATACATTTTATCAAATATAGTGTTTTGATTAGGTGAAGGGTGTCCTTTCTAAGTAGGATTTGGCTTCAGTCCAATTTTGTTAATGATTACAAGATAGTGATAACTTATGTTACTAAGTGCCTTTTTGAGGTTGAAGTGCATATTAAGTTCAGTGTCATGCAAGGAAGTAGAATATAGGATCAATGGCACAGGTTCAACCTGTAATTATATCGCTGTTGGAGCTATGTTTTGGTATGGGTTGAAAAGATACAGATTGTTACTCCGATGTGATAAATTCATTTGATATGGCAGACAAAATGTTCTCTTTGATGCCACCACCTGATTTCTCTACTTCAATGTGTAGGTTTGCTGTGTACGAGAACAAATTCACTGTGCTTTCTTTTAGTGCCATTTAAGATTCTGAACTTATAATCAAAAGAAGATTAAAGCATACACATATTCAGACAAAAAGATGCCATAAGAAGATTATCGCTTGCAATTTTGTCAACTATAAATATGGTTCAATTTCTAGCAGTACATAAATGAATAGATTAGCTTATGGAATGAGATCTACATTCTTTTGAAATTGAAGCCTGTAATTCTTTGTAAAGTTTGTCTTAAAAAAATAGAGAGAAGCTTTACAAAAATTCACAGATATTAAATTTGGAGAATTTAAATACTACGAGTTCTAACTTAAACTCGAAATCTTATGTTTAAGCCATCATAACATTTTATATCAGAATCAATGCCTTGTAGCACCTACAAAATGATTTTTCATTACCATAAGATACAAATCATCATCAACCATTATCAAGCCATCATGTTGCAGGTAAGAAATTAAATTGTGCAGTCCAATGGCATGCCATTTTATAGAATCAGCAAGTATTACTTATAAAATTGAGTCTAGGTAAATGTGATCAAGTGATGGAATTCTCCTAACATTTTGTAATTATATGGAGGGTTATAAAAAACATGAGGTAAATGGACCAGCCCTCTTGAATAGATAGTATTGCTTTTGGCACCAGGAATGTAGGGGCAAACAAAAAAATTTCAAATGCATGAAAATAAAAGCTTGAGAGTGAAAAGATCAACCATGTTAATTGAGGATGATTTGAGAAAGCAAGCACAGGAAAGGAATTTTAAAATAAAAAAATGAGAAAAAACAATGGATTATTGGACAATGAAACGGAGAAATGCTAGACGAGAGTCAACTAAAGAAATTAATTATAAATTTTCCATTGATTATAAATATTAAAAGTGTTATGAATAAAATATAGAGAGAATAGAAAGGAGAAGAAAGAATATAAGCAATAAAAAAAAAAGATAACTCCTCTTGTATTCTCTTTCATCTCTACAATACGATTAACATGCCCTATTTATAGGCATGATTTATATTAAGGATTACACAAATGATAATAAAAAAATAAAAGGTAATCAACACTCATCAAATGATTGGAGTTTCATGAAAAAATATGA